ACAATAGTAAGGTTGGCCCAGGATTGGGCAGTGTTTCATTCTGTTATGCATAAGGTCGCTATGAGTCGTTACCAACTCGATGGCACCTAACAACAACAGCAACAAGGAGCTCTGGTAGCGCAGTGGTTATGAATTGGGCTGCTAATCTCATGGTTAGCAGTTCGAAACTAAAAGCTGTTCCGCTGGAGAAAGATGAGGCTTTCTGCTCTCGTAAAGATTTACAGCCTCGGAAACCCTACACAGGGTCGCTATGAGTTGGAACCGACTCCACAGCACATAACACCACCAAAAACAAACAATATATTTACTGAAATACAACAACCTGGATTTTTCTAGTTATAACAGTGAAGTAATAGAAAATCTAAGTAAATTTTATGTATCCACTGTTTCATATAATACAAAGGGGCTTTAAAAAGTTGGTGAAAAAAATTTCTTATCTTTCAATTGCATTTTTCACCACAAACTCTTGAAGTCCTTTTGCATATGGTCAACTTTTAACTTCCCCTTACTGGTGGTGGCAATGTGCTGTGAAGTCGATTCCAACTCAGCAACCCTGTATAGGGTTTCCGAGGCTGTATCTCTTTACAAGAGCAGAAAGCCTTATCTTTCTCCCATGGAACTGCTGGTAGTTTCAAACTGCAGACCTTGAGGTTAGCAGCCCAACTCATAACCACTATGCTACCAGTGCCCCTAATACCCAAACTAGGTATATCATTTGTTTCCTATCCCAAATTTTTCAATTCAATTTTGCTGAATTTACTACACATTTCTTAATCCCCAGTAGTTTTAAAATACTTTGTCATCAAACCCCCTTTTCAAACCATGTTCTATTTAAATCAATTTTCAATGCCTTTTCATACAAGGACCATCAACTCTATTATTCTGGACCTAGTTCTCATGCTCAAGAAGGAATTAGTTCATAAGTAAGACCAAACTTATTGGTCTGATAGAGACTGGTGGAACTTCTGAGACTATGGTCCTTTATACACCCTTCAAACCTGTAATTGAACACACTATTGGAGATTGTCTTTAAGTCAAACAACAGACAGGTCTATAAAGTGAACTACAATACCCATGAGGAACATGATCCTGAGAACAATCAACCATATGAGAGGAGAAGGACAGCATTTGCCCAAAAACAGAGTTCAAAAGGCATGAAAGGGCATGAAAGATGGGAGAATGGAAACAGGAAATCCAGGGAAGAAGTGGGAAGAGTGCTGTTAGACTTAGGGGACTGCAACTAATGTCATGAAACATAATGTATATAGATTGATGAATGGGAAACTCATTTGTTTGTTCTGTAAACTTTCACTCAGACTATAATAAATTCTTCACACAAAAAAAGAAAAAAGAGACAGAAATTTAACAAAAAACAGATAGGAACAAAAAAAGGGGAGATTTGTTAGGAAATGGAAAATACACTCTTCTTTGGAGAAAGTTAACATTCATCCGGAATGTCAGCTCACACAGAGAATGCTGAGCATAATCAGACCACATACTCATTACTCTAAGGGGAAGAAACTCAAGGAAGTTGAAACAATCTCAAAAACAAATGCTAAGCACATATTGAAAATGATCACAGTAAGTAAGAAAGGAGTAACAGCTAAATAAATGAAAATACAACACAAAGGTTAGATACCATTCTAATAAACCAAGATTTAACATTATAAATATAAAAGGTGAAAGAAGAGCTACATAGTCAAGAATAAGTAGAGAACAATGGCATAAATTGATCAGAGGAATCAAACTAAAACCCAGAGTGAGCTGGGGCAAAAAAATGTCAAGAACAATAAAGGCCTTTAAAAATTGTATTTAACATGAGAAAGTCTCCCACGAGGAATAGACAATTCCATGCTAATGGCTGACACAGAGTGTGAAGCAGATTGCTCAACTACTTTATTTGTCAAAGAGAATGATTATCAGATTAAAAAATAAATAAATAAAGATTTTTCATGAACTGAAACACTACAGAAGTGAGGAAATTGTAATTTCCAAATGTACTTAGGGCTCCTGCTTCAGATTAATGAAATCCAGTAACTGAAATAGCTTACAGATGAAATAAAAGTACCATTCTGGTAATCCTTCAGGAATACTGAAATGAAAAATAGGAATGGTATGAGGACTGCTGAGATAAAATGTTACCCTAATTTTAAAAAATGGATAAGGCATGGAACAGTTAAAAAAACAACAAATACACCCTGGATTTAGCTTTATATGGAGTAGATAGGAGAGATTTTATTTTTCAAAAACAGCCACAGCATTATTTCCAGTCTCACACTGATCTTCCAGAATGTTTCCACTTATCAGGTGAGTTTTTACCATTTCCCTTAAATCACATGGGTGAAACTGTATGATCTCCAACATAGCTTCTCCCAACACACACACATAAACAATACAAAGGAGCTTTAAAAAGTCTGTAGGTAGAATTAAAAGATAATGGAATTTATCCATGAAATTTTGAAGCCCCCTCATATATGCTGTTGTTGTTAAGTAAGTGCTATCACATTGGTTCCGACTCATAGAGTTCCTATATAAGGTTTCCGAAGGGCAGCTGGTAGGTTTGAGCTGCCGACCTTGTGGTTCAAATTGACTATTAGAATCCAGTGCTTTAACCCACAGTGCCACACCAGGATCCCATATATATATATACAAATATACATAAACATATAAATATATATATATA